TCTGGATCCATCTAGGAACACCCATTTAGTACCATCCAAAGCAGACTAAGCATCCGGTCTTGCCTTTGAACTGTCCAGACAGGGCAAACAGCGCGGGGTAATCATTGGTAGTAACAAATATTATTGCTTTGCATATGAAGTCCTCCCGCCGGAACGCATCGTACATCGGCTCCCCATACCTCCATAGCTTCTCCATTTCTTGCATCAGAGGCTCCAAGAACACGTCTATATCAATGCCTGGTTGTTTGGGGCCGGAGATAAGAATGGTGAGGAGAAGGTACTTCCTCTTCTGACACAAATATGTTGGGAGGTTGTACATGGTCAAGATGATCGCTGGCCATGTGCGTGGGTCGGTCATCCTCTCATTGAAGGATTCATTCCATCGGTGCTCAAGCCGAACCGTACATTCCGTGGGTCATCACTAAATTCTGCTTTGTACTTGGCATCGAACGCTTGCCACTGGCTACAATCAGCCGGGTGTGCGATCGTATCATCATCCACCTTGCGCTCATCATCCCACCTTGTCATCAGGCGGCTTCCTTAGGGTTTAGGAACATACGCCTTAAGCGGTCGATCAACGGCAAGTACCACATAACCAAGGCAGGAATTCTTCTCTTATTTGTATCGTTGCCTAATGGAGTTTCCTCTAGGGGCTGAGATTCTTGCACCACCTTCTTCCCACCCTTCTTCCTCTTTCCTGTGGAGGCTTCCACCCCACTTTGAAGGTCATTGTTCTTGTACCGACTAGCCCCACACCTAGGACATGTATCTAAAGTCTCAAACGATGTGCCACGTCGAAAAAGGATACAGTGGTTGGGGCATGCATGGATTTTTCAACCCCAATGTGAGTGGACTTATAACCTTCTTCGCTTGGTATGTGTTGGCGGGAGCTGTGTTTGGTCGTGGGAGCAACTGTGACATGAGGCACAACAGATCATCGAAAGCGCAATTCACCACCAAAGTATTTTAGCCTTCAGGATGAGTAGCTCAAGCACAAAACGTAGCAGTGTGAAGTATGTCGGACAACCCTTCTCAGCATCATACACAGTCTTCTTCGATGCTTTTGTCACCCTCTCAAGATTTTCTAGACCTCTCTTGCTCTTTTCTAATATTTCTGGTCCAAAGGCCCCAAGCATTTCGTCCAAGTTGTCACCGTCATCTGCATCCCCCTCACGTGCTTCGCCATCATTGCTGGCACCACCAGCATCATCACCACCTTGTTCATTGCCAAAGCCACCACCTTGTTCATTGCCAAAGCCACCACCTTGTTGATTACCATAGTCACGATCCATTTGTTGCTCAAGATCGTATGTGAATCGGGACAAGTATGCTTGGGTTTCAGCTTCATCAGCTAGATCATCGTCGCTGTCATCAACAACCACTGTTTCACCATGATGAATCCACACTGTGTAGTCCGGAACAAATCCTCTTCTAATAAGATGTTCTTTGATGGTACTCACATCTCGAAATGCAATAAGGTTCTTGCAATCTTTGCAGGGACAAATAATCGTGTCGCTATTCTCTTTCAACGTCGCTGCATGCTTCTCTGCGGCTTTGATGAATTTGTCCACCTCATCACGGAAAAGAGCGTCGTGTCTTAACGAACCATACATCCAAGAGTTCCTGTAGTCCATCTTATAGAAACAAAATAACCAAAGAAAGAATATTACTCGAGAATAATTGTATATACCTGAGACACGCACTATGGTAGTAGAGGATAGTTAATTAATTGACTATTAATGCATAAATATTTTAAAATATAAATTAATTGGTTCAAATAAACAATTTCACATAAAACAATTAGCAACATTTAATATTTCATCCACTACCTTTCATGCAAACTCCATTCCAATTTCATGGTAGAGGATAATTAATTAATGGCCTATTTATCCATAACTAATTAAAAACACACATTATATAAAGGAATCAAAATAAATATTAAATGATAATTAGTAGCCATGGTAGAGGATATTTTACACATTAGCAACAATTAAAATCTTACACATTCACCTACATGCAAACCCTAGTCACATAAAGGAAAAATTGAAAAGAAAAAAAAACAAAATCCTAGATCTAGATATAGGGTTTCATGACACATGCATCAAACTTTACTAATACTACACTAAAATCAACAAAGATGTACTAATAAAGGGTGCAATCTTACTTTCCTACATAATTTATCCTAGTATAGTGAAAATTAGGGTCTAATTTCACTCATAACTAGCTCAAGCTCCATGGAAGAAAAGAAAACCTCAAATCAAATTACTCACTAACCAACAAATTAAACTTAAATAAAGAGTTGGAGACGCATTTCCTTACCTTTTAGAGCCTCTCCACCAAAGGATTTGAGATCAAAACCTCCCCCCTTAATAGAGCAATTTTTAGGAGGAGCCCAAGGCCTCCCAACCTTTTTTTTGTGTGTAGAAGAGTATGTCCCGAGGTGGAAGAAGAGGGTGGCTGCTATTTATTCAGTGCGCCATCGGTGGGGGCGGTGGTGATTGAGCCGCCTTTAAGTCATAACTCAGAGGGGCGGTGGTGATTGAGCCGCCTCTACAGATCAGCCCCTAAGCTGAGGGGGCTCGGGTTACCAGCCGCCCTATAGTGATTATCTGCTCAGGCGGTGGTGATTGAGCCGCCCTACAGATCAATTCCCCAATCTGTGAGGGCGGCTCGGGTTACCACCGCCCCACAAAGTGACATCTCAGAGGTGGCTGGGCTGCTTTGGGGCTGGGACGCCCACTGTAGGGGCGCCCCAACCCCAGCCGCCCTCACAATAAAAATGCCCCTGCCTCCTCTAGCAAGAATAATCATGAGTGTTTGACAAGATTTAATGCATGGAAGGGAGGAGGAAGGAAAAAAAATCACACATAAAGTATGGACAAAACCATATAGATATTTGGAAAAATCACAGTATTAATTGATTCTATTGTAGTATACTTAGTTCCTAGAATGGTAACCAGCCAAATATATATAACTTTATAATAAGTACACTTACAGAATTATTTGGGTCACCTATATGCTACACTCTAAGCATTAATGTAATAGTGGGCATGTTCACTTGGCAATTACATTCTTTATTCGATAAATAATATGAACTTTTAGATCTTACCCATAAAGCTATATAATATATAAGGAGATTTTTATCTTCCAATAAAGTATACATACAAGACCATTTGTTGCACCTTGATACCCTATAGGTTATTTTAGTGTAAAGATCAATGGAAATATAGAATTAGTACATAGGTATATATCAATAAGAATTCGCATTGTTTCATCATACCATTATCTTGTGTTTTCCGTCTTGAAGAAATTAAATCACTATTCTATTCTAAATTTGCATGCTAGTAGCATTTTGGCACTAGACACACAAGAGTTGGTGTAGAACAATGTTGCCACCCAACGTATTTGTATAATAGCATGTCCATCGACATATCCAAGATACCAGTAGAGATGGGTGATTGCCAAGAACATATAACACAAAAATCCTAGGTGGCGGGATCTCCAAACCAGACAACTGATGTGGCATTCTGAACATGGAATCACAAATTTGGTAACAACTAAGTTCTAATGCCTCTCGTACCTATACTATTGCCACAAGGTATGTGCAGACTAGGTACTTTATTTGCCTCAGTTGTAATGCTGCTATTGTGTATCGAGGGTTGTCTCTTATATTGTAGCGTGCGCACGCACAAACATTGTAGATGTGCTGTGATTTGGGCAACAAGATGGAGTTCAAGGATGGCCACCATTGGTTGGATAAACTCCTAAATTTTCACTACTGTTGTTGCAAAGCCAACGGTGGAAGACAAACTATGTGGCATATATAGACGTGAAAGTAAGGAGCAGCTATTTATAGACCAGGGCTAATGAGAATAATTAAGTTGCTAGCATGTTGGTGTAGGTGTAAGGATATAGATCTCGATGTTTATGAGTGAGATGAAGGTGTGCCATAACGCATGGGAGTTATTGTCGCGTACCATGGTTGCATGATCCTAGGTTGCAAGGGGCCGGGACAAATTAAAAAGGATAAAGAAACCTTCCTCTTACCAAGGTATAAATCCATTTAAAGTTTATCCTTAGCCCAATGTTTTGGCCTTTAATTATTAGTATCTATGATTCTATATATGTAGATTGATACTATTAGTAGATTCATTATGAACAATCACCACCAGAGCATAAACCCCCAAAAAGGGCAACTTATAACGTATCAACTAAACCAAAAAAATATGCAGTAATGAAATTTTATTATTCGGACTAAAAGGGTTTACACTATATACACCAATTTGTCTTGAACCTTGTGTGCACATGTACGTTTTCACATCAAACATATGGAACAAATCAATCTTTTTACCAGTTTATCCATACCGATTTACAGATGTATTGATGTTTGAGTGTTTGACACCTAAACTCTACAGGAACAAGACATTAACATACACACAATTTTTACACTACCATCAATAAATAAAAAAAAACAAATTAGCTTTGGCAAGAAACAAATAAAGGCCGTCTTCTGATACAAAATTATCATGCACTTCCTAGCATCCACAACCTACACTGCTACTGCTTTCAGCACCCACGTAGCTACGGAGTCAAACAATTCTGTCGTCAGTTATGCAGTGATCCTGATGCTGGATATACGCCAATTCGATTAAGCGAGTAACTAAATCCAGTGATTCGTCCATCCAATGGAGAAAGTTCTTAACGACAAAATCCAGGAAGCAGAGAAGCTATATATATGTCCATACTCGCATTCATAAAACGTACCAGAAGAATTAACTGTAAAACCACTAGTATATTGTACAACTGAGCATCAGTAATTAAGTAACGTCAGGTAATACTGTATATACAAACTAATGCCACAACCATGCAAGCTATTGATCCATATTTACATGTAGGCGTTGCATCCATAGTCAGATCTCGATGATCCTCCCAAACTCGTCCTCAGATCTCCATGATCCTCCCAAGCTCGTCCCAGGTGCTGCCACTGTCCTTTAAGCACGTCACATCGCTCCACCCGAGAGTCGATGTCGATGTCGACGGTAGCAATGGAGCCCCACTCCCATGAATCCTGATGACGACGTCATTGTCGTCATCTCGGCCGATGACGACGCTGAGCCATGGAAACCGCGCAGCAGGAACGGCTGGTGGTGCTCAGTTGCAGCATAAGCTGCCTCGGATGAGTGCAAGTAATGGTGCTGGTGGTAGCGGTAGTAGTCATAGTAGTACTGCAACTGCTGGTGGTGGTGGTGGCTTCTCTTGCTGCCGTGTTCCTGCTTCTGCTGCTGCTGGCACCTCCGGTTGTAGGACGTGCTCCTCTTGAAGATTCGGCATATCGTCCAGATTTCCTGTGATTATTAGAAACGAAGAAAGAATTATTAGTAACTTTGTTTCAATTTACTTGTGTTGAAAATTCATCTATGTTATCAGCAGTTTAGCACTGACAGCATCATGGGGCTCAACCAACTCCGTAGAGGGGAGTCGGAATTCGTGCATCATCCAGTCAGTCTTTGTGCCTCTGCCGGCGCTGCCGCGGTAGTAGACGAGGGACTTCTTGAGACCGATGTGCTCGGCGGCACCATCATGTATGGGCTTGTCGATGCCGGTGGCCTTCCAGAAACCAGAGCCAGTGACGCGGTTGGGCCGGATGCTGTTCCTGTACTTCCGGCCACGCAGGCAGAAGAAGTAGCAGTCCTTGTCTCCTGAGTCTTGCACAATATGCCGAGCTTCATCTGCAGGCACGAATGCCTCACGCAGTTAGAACCCCAGGGGTATATGCACATAGATCATAAATGGATATGACATAAATTGAAACCTACTTGGAAGATCCCAGGGTCATGCTTGTAGATATCGATCTCCTGATGATGTCAAAACTGAAGCCCTTCTTCTCCACTTTCCTCTTCAGGTAGAACCCCACGAGCTCTTGATCAGTTGGATGGAACCGGAAGCCAGGGAACACCAAATCATCGTCTTCATTTCCGTCGTCTGCTCCGCCGCCGCTATCCTTCTTAGTGATCCTTTGAGACGGCTTCTTCTCCTCCTCCATCGCTTGGTTTATTTATTGAGCTTCTTTCTTGCTAGCTTGCTATGAGTTTGAAGTTTCTAGGGCTTGATTGCTGCTTACATGGTGATGGGGCAAAATGGAAGCTGCTAAAAACTGACTTGGTTAATCGCTGTATTAATATGTTTGGATGGCCAAATGGGACCAAATGGAAGCGGCTTACATGGTCCTTACAGTACATGAGTGGTCATCAGACGTAAATTATAGATAGCCAAAGATGAAGCTGCCAGAATCTTTTGCCCAAGTCAAGTCAGAGAAATTTTGGCCTTATAAGTTGAACTTTCTCATTTTATTTTCTGCACAGATTAGGGGAACTAAGCAATTGTTTAATCTAATTAATCTACTTTTTTCAAATTTTAACGACTGATCAATATTTGATTTGGAACCCATCTTAGTGATGCTTTTCTTTAATGGTTGAGTAGTTGTTCAGACCTTTTAAGCTACGAGAATCTAGCTATTTCAAATGATGGTTAGATTTTTTTCTTTTAATGGGTTGAGCATATCAACACTATCTTGTACCAAGTCAAGGCAGACGTCATTCCCTTTGACTAGGTAGGAGTGTGATTGATTTGTTTGCAGCGGTGAATTATCTACTCTCCTTTTTTTCTACAGGAGTGTGAGGTAAATCTTATAGTAACATGTCTTTGTTTCAGCCTGGACTTTATTTACTGATGCCAACCAGAATTTACTAGATTTTTTCTTGGAACCCAGGATAGTGACTGCCATTTAAATCATTAGAGGAAAAAAGATTGCTCAGCTACAAGTCCCACAAGGAAATAACTTCTCAAACTAGATATTTTTGTTTGTTTGCAAATCAATTTTGTACATGAATGGTAACAATCAGATATTTTGAAAGAAATTTGTAAATTTTTCTTGGATGACTGGTCTAGCTAGTTTTTCTGCTGGGCCAGTTGTCAATAATTTTAAACCGTTGTTGTTCTCACTACATACAGGAAAATTGTTTTAGGAAGAGAAGCTGGGGTGTAAAAGACTTAATCACTAAGTTTTGTTGACAGATAAATTTGACCTTTACGTCTGCGGAAAAGTATGTGCGGATTTGCCTCAGATATAAAGTGTAATAACTTACATTTGGAGCGACAAAACTTTGAGAAGCTTCTGATTAGGTAAGAAAGTCAGTCCCTCCTTTACTAGTTGTGGCCTATAAGATTTAGTCACTGTGAGGAAAAATAATGTTGAACATTTCAAAGTTCAGGAAAGTGTGATGGTTGAGTCCATATCTGTGGATTCGTATTTGTAACAAGACGACAAGCATGCCTTGCAGTTCCTTTTGCCTGCCAGCACTTGGCACTAGATGTCATGTTTGGAAATTTGGCAGACAGAAAGTCTGAGTCACTATTTTGTTTGGCAGAGATATTTGTGGTTTTTGGCAGCTAGTTATTATTTGTAGCTCTAAAAATCTTGAATCAGAGCTAGAGGTACATTAGGAGCGTATAGATGAATTATTTTGTTTATAGATAGGACTGAATATGAATATTTAAACCACTTTAATTAAGTCAGCAAAATCATGAATTTGCTAGAAAAATTAGTTGCTGTTTCAGTTGTAAACATGTGGTCGCGTAATATCTATGGGTATCTCTCTCCTGGCTAAAAAACCTTGAGAAAAATAAGCATTACCTACAGTTCTTTCATTAAATTGATTGTGAAGCTCAAGCTTCAGAACTGGTTCTTGCTGAGAACAGCAAGTATTTCCTTTTCCCCGTAGTTTGTATGCCACCACTAATGGCATCGAATTTGGGAGACAGCGTGATTGATTAACAGAGGCGGGTCAAAAGTGAGGCAGCCTTAAAAAAAATAGCAGCGATTTTCAGAGGCAGACATCCCATTTTTCAGAGACAACACCGCTTCTTGATACAATATGCTAATTGGCCTGTTTCTTTCTTTAGATCTCAGTGGATTAGTCCTGTGCAAACCTTTCCAAGATTTGACTAAACCTGTGGACTGCTGACAACAATATTATTTGTCTTATGGCTATGGTTGAGGAATCTTGCTGTTCATACTCAAGTGTTGATTAACAATTCCACTATGACTCATAAATGATTGATCAAGTCGACTGAGAGTCATCATCTTTTAGTTTTCTTCCTTAATTCAGTGGAGCGATTTCCCTTTAATGCCTACACTAACACACTCGCTACTACTATGTGCGTCCACAACAGCACAAAATAGCACACGAATGGATTGACTTGTTACTCAAGACTCAAAACCATGACCTACCACCCAATACTAATTCCTGCCACACTATACCATATATTCACTTGTTTGCAGATATAAATATCTCTGAATCTTATATTGCATATTTTGGCATTAAATGAACTCAAAATGAAGAAAAGTATCAACTATAAAGTTCTAAATCTCTGCCAAGCATTACAAAAATTGAATATCAAAATATGTGGATTTAATATAAATTTGACACGGCTTTAAAACTTTCAATCAAAGACTTATCAACAACATAGATGTAGCAGGTCAGCCACTACAACTTTGGTATTAATTATATGACCATTCAAGGTCGTTTAGAAATTTTAAATGTAGAATTTCTAAATCCATGAACTTACACACATGGAGGACTCTAAATTATTTTAAAATAAAAACAAATTCAACTACAAAGTTGTAGATTATATTGAGAACTACAATTTTAGTATAGACTATGTCAACATCTAAGGTTGTTTGAAAATTTTAAATTTCAAATTTCAAAATGTTGTTTATCGATGGTTTTCAAGAGGCTGTATGGATGGGCCCCAAACTATACCTCCTCCGTTAATCAAAGAGGCTATCTCCTAAAAATCATTTTTGTAGTACCATACATTTTACATTCTATTGTGGTGTTTTTTTTTAATTTGGAATTGATTTATAGGGGTGGTCGACCTTGTGGGCTTGTGGCCTGCTCCTAAAATTCAACTTGTAAAGAGCGGGTTATAATTTTGTATGGTTGTTATTTCACACCTAGAAATTGTTTCAAGACTGCAGGTTCCAAATCAGTTGTATAGTGTTCCTATCCATCGATAGACACTCATGGTTATATGGCGATTTTGGAATTGATTTCTAGATAGTGATCAGTCACCCACGGCGACTTGCTCCTAGACAAATCAACTTCTAAAGGTGGTTCCCTAAGGTCTTCTATGGTGCGACTTCGATAACAGTCTAGAAATTATGTTTTGAATGCAGCATCACATCAATTGTACAGCGTCTCTATCCATTGACAGGCACTCATCATTATATATAGTAACAGCATTAGTTCACTTAAACGGTGAGCTCAGTCATACTTTATTGATGAAGTTTCAGCATCTGAAGCATTAACTTTGGGTTGCACCATCCTTTTTCTTATATGTCGTGTTATTATGGGTTGCACAGCTTGTTTCTCCAGTTTATATAAGCACGACCTAAAATCTTTGTCATCCATCTCACCCCTCAATGCTGTACACTTTTGCCTTAGTGTAACACATAAAACACATGTACATTGATAATATATATAATATCAGGAGTTCATCACATTCTGCGTCAGAAGTCTCAGTTTAGCTCACTCTATACCAGGATAGTGATCAGATTTATTCATCAATGGCTGGTTGTATTAGGACTGGGATGTATCAGAAGTCATCAATCTCAAGATCCTTCTCTCTGCTGTTGTTGGCCTTGGAATGTCCACTGCCAAGGCGCTGGGGAAAGTTCTTACGATTGCAGTGTCCACTACCAACGATGACCATAATCGCTGGTAGTCCTAGTAATATGGTGCTTAGGGAACTCCACCGCGTAGATTGTGTGGAGACAATCTGTTGAAAATGGTCGGTTTCTTGTCTTGTTACATCACAATTGAACTGTCTATTGACTCACAGCAGCCTAGGGTTTCTCCCCTGTAGTAGCTCCAGTTGAACTGCTCATATCAGCTTGTCACTTAGTTTCCTCCTGTTCATTTTGTGCATGCCCTGCTGATTATTTGGGGAAATGCCGGCGGCAATTTGTGAATACTGAGCCAACTTTGGATTGTACACTCAAGAAATTCAAGAACTCTGAGGTTTTTTTGGTGCTGCTAAAATGGCGCTGTTTTTCTGATTACCAATAACTTGTTATATTTATAGAAATACAAGACTAACTGGGCAGCTAATCTGTCAATACAGCATGCTGCAAAACCATGCGGTGAACGTAAGCATGAACAGGGGGCATGCATCGAGTGCTTCACAACTCCTACAACAACGCACGGTTAACTGCTATCGATCAGACCAGGCATCACTACCAGTAAGCATTTATTCAAAGGTGGCGATGGTTGTAGAGGCGGTTTTACGTCCAGGCCGCCCACTACTAGAGAAATGGATTTTAGAACGGTGTCCGGCAATTTAGCATTAACCTCGGCATTTTTGTCCCGGGACTAAGGACCTTTAGTCCACGGTTGAATGCTACCTAGCGGGACTAAATGTTCTTACTCCCGTTAGAAAGCCACTAGATTCGAGACTGAAATTCAACCAAGCTTTAGTCGGTTGATAATACCAGCTGACTAAAGGTCAGACTCCATTTCTAGTCCAGGTCAGGTTGGATCTTTTGATACCAACCGGGACTAAAGATCTGATGGGTTAGTTCAAAGGAAAGCATCCATCCATTGTCGGATCATGTTGTGTAGGTTCACGATGGTAAGCTTAAGACATGCCCTAGAGCGATTGAGGGTCTTGGGTTCAAATCTCACGAGGCGCAATGGTGGGAGGCATTATTTTTTAAGCTGGGGAGGATCTTTTAAGGCCTTTTCCCAATAGGGACTAAAGCCACATTGTGTAGTAGAGTGTTCCCTACCATACTGTCTCTACAAATCAAGGGTTTGTAGGGGCGGTTCTCAAAGCAATTCCTACAAATCGATTTGTAGAGGCATGGTTGGTAAGTGTCTCCGTTGCCCTTAAAATGTATTTGTACTCATAAGTCGAGTAACACCAATAGATCTCTACAAAAATGATTTTAGGAAGCGGCTATAAAATAAATTTTAAGGAAGT